GGATATAGCTCGCTAGCAGCCTCGCACCGAGGACCTATCCACGTCATCATTTACCCAGAATGCTTTGCGTGTAAATAAAATGGCTCCGTCCGTGTAATATATTTTTAAACCTTTACTTTAAAAATTATAAAAACTAAACATCCTACAGTATTTTTACAGTCTTTATTTTACAGGTAAAATATATTTTTTATCAAATAAAGTCTAATGTAACAACTAATCGGGGATCCCCTTAATGCAGAGGGCTGAGGAATGCTTACAATAACAGCATTATTGGACACAGAGACCTCCACCCCTGTTTAACAAGGGAGCTTTTCACAAAGATGGCTTCCTTTACGACTCTCTTCCTCCCTATCAAGGATGAGAACATCCTCACCCCTGAAAGAGGGACCACCTAGCCTGCAGATGAGTTTAAACCACAGAGTCCTAGCCTGATGCTCTTCTGTGCTGGCCCATCATACAAGGCAGTGGTTCTCAATTCTGGTCCACATGGCTCACTATTCTGCTCCTCAGCAGGTCTTTAAGTTCTGCAGAAGCTTGTCAGTCACTCATTCATTTAAACCAGATGTGCCAAAGCAGAAAAACATGCAGAATAGTGGGCAAGCAGCAGAATTGATAACCACTAATATAAGCCGAGCGCTAAAAGCATAACGATATCATGATTGCTTTCACACTGAAGGAGCTTCTCCTAATCGCTGTGATCCAGCCACGTTATAATGGGTCGTCATGCACCGGTCGTGCTGTGTCGGCAGTTACATCTGAACTGGTGAATAGACTGACATTCCTTCAGACATAGGATGTTATTGTTCTTTTTATCAGTGAGTAGTATCAAAAACACAAAACGCATCTCATCTTTCAACACCCCCACTCTGCACATATAACAGTTTGGATCAAAATACAATCTTTTCAAAGCTACGGTACAACAGTCCACCATCTCCCATCTGGCAACCCTGCGGCTCCATGTAAATGTGTGATTGTTTTGTTTTTTCACATTCTTGCTCGAACTAAAAGTGTTTTACTTACGATAGTCAGTCCAGCTGACACCCATGTTTAAGCAGAMTTGTAAAGTAACTAAGTACAAATGCTTTGTTTCCGTGCTTAAGTCGAAATTTTGGGTATCTGTACTTTACTTGAGTAATTATTTTTCAGTGTACTTTTTACTTTTACTCATTACATTTTTACACAATTATCTGTACTTTCCACTCATTACATTTTTTAAAAAAGGTAAGAAGTAGAAAGTCTTTTCTCCTATTTTATTCTGAGTTGTTATTTCTTTAAAAAATACTATCCTGATAAATTGTGTCTCCTGGATAGAGTTAATTTAATTGTGTTTGGATGAGGAGTATAAATATATACCATTCTGACA